TATCTGACCGCACTTATACGAAGATAGATGCACTTCTGGAGGCTTATGGAGGAGCCGTCTCTAGAGTTACCTTCCATAGGATATACCTAGACCTAGGTTGCTATAAAGGATATGCGATTGTCGGTACAGCAGGGCCCCACTTATATGGCAGGTTAGGTTCCAGGCTACCGCCGTAAAGCAGAAACCGCCGTAAAGTGGAACACCCTTTTTTTCCACTTATAAATGCATACAAACACTAGATAACAAGTTTACACTAACATATATTAAGTTAGCAATAGAACCAGGCATCAAAAAACAATAAAAAAGCACAATACACACATAGTGCACTCACTACTTACCTTAAAATGTTTATAGTCTTAATCTAGGGTGAGACAAGTAGTATTTATTGTAAGAAATCAAGTGTGGTATGTATGGCAATCAGCCAGGCTACCTTACCAGGCCACCCCACCCACACATACTATTCTATGATATTTAAGCATCCCAGAGCGATAAAATGTATATACAGTTCACTCATTACTTACCTTAAAATATAGGGTGAGATGAGTAGTATTTATTGTAAAAAATCAAGTGTGGTATGTATGGTAGTCAGCTGGGCTACCATACCAGGCCAACCCACCCACACATATATTCTATGATATTTAAGCATCCCAGAGCGATAAAATGTATATACAGTTCACTCATTACTTACCTTAAAATATTTGTAGTCTTAATGTAGGGTCAGGAGTAAGTAAATGAGATAAAACGAATAAATGAGAGAAAGAATGAGTACATGAGAGGGGACAGGCGCAGAGTTATGTAAACAAACCAGGCGAAGGTAAGTTTTGTAAACAAAGTGTACACGTCTGGTTTATGTACAAGTTACATTGTGTACAGGTTGTCTCTACATTGATACGGTAGAATTAATAAAGAAGAACACTCCCATTCTCATGTAACACCATTTTGAGAAGAAATGAAGCTCTGAGTGAAGGCAATGGAAATAAGTCACACTGACTTTTTTGGGTTATCCTAGGTTCTCTACACATATGTTGTTATGTATGATAATCTATGTAACTGTATTTGTGTATACCTGAATAAACTTACATACATACAAAAGGAATAATTTTCTACAGTTACCCCCAGTAACACATTTTCTCTTATGTTAGATTAGAGAAAATGTTATTCTTGCCATCACTTGTACAAGTTATCTGGCTCCCACATCTTATATTTATGTTTATTTATTCTATTGTGGGGTGTATTTATCATCTTTTTATGTTATGTATCGTGTTTATTATATAATTTTGAAAAAATATCATGGATGGATTAATGAAAATGTGTATATTAACGTAATATACGACATTTAATGAGACTCGGTGAGTATTGTTATTATTATTATTATCATTTCTAATATGGCGTCACTTGTGCAAGTCGTCTGCTACCACATCTCACATTTATGTTTATTTATTCTACTGTGGGGTGTATTTATCTTATTTATATGTTATGCATCGTGTTTATTATACAATTTTGAAAAAATATCATAGATGGATTAATGAAAATGTGTATATTAATGTAATATACGACATTTAAATGACTCGATGATTATTATCATTACTAATATGACGTCAGGAGACATAAGACACTTACCGATTTTAATGTGTACCTGCATGCCAGCACAGTATGTAAGTTTATTTAGGTACAGGTATACATAAGTATAATTATCAGAGTATATATAAAATATGAAATAACTTTTAAAAACATTTGAAATTTTGGAGTTTCCAGACAAAATGGAGAGACTTAGTGCTTACTGAGCTCACGAAGAATGTAAACAAACAGGGTGGGGTGCGGTGACCGTATTAGAAAGTCAGGTGGGGGAGCCGTATAGCGAGTTTTGGTCATAATTTGAAATGACTGTATTAGCGGAATGCCGTAAAGTGAAACGCCGTAAAGTGGGGCCCTACTGTATATCAGATGAAGGATTCCCTATTAAGTCTGCTGACCTACTGATAGGAAATGACCTAAGCTGCGAAGGAATCAAGAAAGAACCTCTGGTGATATAAAATACCTCGGTAGAGGATTACGTGGTTGAGGCTCATAGGAAGGACCTATCATTATTTCCGCTGTGAGTTGTCACTAGGTCCATGGCAATGGCCAGGTTACCTCCTGAATCAACAGAGAAAGAAGAGGACAAAGCTGATCTGGGTTTGAACCTATTGTTTAGTGTGACCTACTGGCCCAAGGATGCGAAGTCTGTGTCTGCAGGGCTAGACTCAACTTTAGATTCTTTAGGTGCTAAAAAGTTTAGACCTGAAGACCTAATCCAAGCACAGATGGAAGACCCCTCGTTGGAGGAAGTAAGAAAGCTGGTGGTAATGGAAGAAGAGGCTGGGAAACTAGAGGACTGTGTTTATTCTAGTAGCGGTATACTGATGAAGAAATCCACCAGAAGACATTCTCTAGGGGAATCTTTCGCCAAGGCCAAACATGTATTAATCCTACCTAGGATTTATCGTGAGCTTGCATTGGAGGTCACCCATAATAGTCCAATGGGAGGACATCTGGGAGTAAGGAAAACAATGGTAAAGTTGTCAAAATACTTTTTTTGGCCTAGAATGCAAGAAACTGTGGTGGAACATATTCGCAGTTGCCGGGTCTGTCAGACCGTCATCAAACCTGCTCATACCCCACCTCTAGCTCCTCTCTGTCCTATCACCTCAGATGGCGAGCCTTTTTCCCGTTTGATCATCGATTGCGTAGGTCCACTCCCCAGGACCAAAGCGGGAAATCAGTACCTATGCACTCTAATGGATTCTGCCACCCGTTACCCCGAGGTCATCCCCATGAGGAAAATAAATGCTCGCACAATAGTCCGCACTTTAATAAAGTTTTTCTCACAGGTAGGGCTGCCTCGTGAGATCCAATCCAATCAAGGATCAAACTTCACTTCAAAAATCTTCAAGGAGGCCATGTCATGCCTTGGTATAAGATCTATCCTCTCTACGAGCTATAGGCCCCAGTCCCAAGGAGCATTGGAACGGTTTCATCAAACATTGAAGGTGATGATGCATTCCTACTGTGAACAATTCAGTAAAGACTGGGCTTAGGGCATTCCTTTCCTTCTCCTGGCCGTAAGGGAAAGCGAGCAGGAAAATCTAGCCCTTTTGAGTTGATATATGTATAGTTATATGGTACGTGTACCCCTCGCAGTATTGAAAGATGTATGGACCGGAAGACGTACTCCGTCAGTTCAGGTATGCCCGGCTTTGATGCAGGAACACCTCACTTTCACGAGGAACCTAGCCGCAGAGAACTTGAAGAAAGCCCAGGCTAAAATGAAACTACGATATGATGAACATGCAGCCTCTCACTCTTTCAACATCGGAGATAAAGTATTGGCTCAGAAATTCATGCCCAGACATGCACTGAAACCAAGATATGAGGGACCTTTGGAAGTCATTAAAAAACGAAGTGAAGTGAATTACCTGGTTCGTACCCCAGGGAAAAAGAAATCAGACCATACATACCATGTTAACCAATTTATTTATTTATTTATTTAAAAATTTTAGCATACAAACAGAGGTACAAAAAATACAGGTAAGAGCAGCATGCCAAAGCCACTTATATGCATAGCATTACGGGCTGGCTTAAAATTAACTTAAGATTAACTAAGCAATGATGAAATCAGTGATAAGACATTATTGTAAACAGATAACTATAAAATACAAATGAGTATTACAAAGACAGGTCCTATGGTTGCATGCATTGCTGTACATTCAGTAGAATGGAGTATTCTGTTAGGTAGTGTATTTAAAAAAAATAACAAAGTTAGGTTTAACATTTGTGTGATATAATTGTGAGTAACATTTAGGATATACAATTTATATGGTTCAGTTATTCAGTATTTATTTGGTTTTGAGTGAGTAAGTGAACTTTGAGAAGAGACTTGAATTTATAAACAGGTAGTGTTTCTTTTATATTTACAGGTAATGAATTCCAGATTTTAGGGCCTTTTATGTGCATTGAGTTTTTGCATAGCGTGAGATGGACACGAGGAACATCAAAGAGTGATCTGTGCCTTGTATTATGGTCATGTGTTCTGTTGAGGTTGGCAAGGAGATGTTTGTGGGGAGGGTTAATATCAGAGTTAAGTGTTCTATGTATGTAATAAGTGCAATAATAAGTATGGATGTTTTGTATGGTGAGTAGGTTGAGTGTTTTGAATATTGGTGGAGTGTGCTGCCTGTAGTGAGAATTTGTTATCATTCTAACTGCAGCCTTTTGCTGGGTAATTAGTGGTCTGAGATGGTTAATTGTTGTTGAGCCCCATGCACAAATTCCATAGGTGAGATAGGGGTAAATAAGAGAGTGATAAAGGGCCAGGAGGGCTGACTGTGGAACATAGTACCATATCTTTGATAGTATGCCTACAGTCTTGGAAATTTTCTTAGAAATTTGTTGTATATGTGTATGAAATTTGAGTCTATTATCGAGGTGGATTCCTAAGAATTTTCCCTCTGTTAGCTTTGTGGTAGGTGATCCGTTTATCGTTATGTTAAGAGGTACATCTGTAGCTCTGCTACCAAACTGAATGAAGTAGGTTTTGTCAATGTTTAGTGTAAGTTTGTTATTCCTCATCCAGGTAGATATTTTCTGTAATTCGGTGTTTACAGTATTGGCTAGCGTGACTGGGCTCGGGTGAGAGAAGACGTATGTGGTGTCATCTGCAAAAAAGTGTGGGTTTGAGTAATTGCGAAGCATTTGGTAGGTCATTTATGTATAGGAGAAAGAGAAGAGGGCCAAGGACACTTCCCTGTGGGACACCAACTGTAATTGGTTGTGCGGAAGAGCTTGCCCGATTTGCATACACATATTGGCTTCTGTTGCTGAGGTAAGACTTGAGGTAGTTGAGGGAGTGCCCTCTAATACCATAGTGTGACAATTTTACGTGGAGCAAGTCATGGTCAACTGTATCAAAAGCTTTACGTAAGTCAATGAAGATCCCCAGTGGGACTTCTTTTTTTCTATTGCAGAGATATTATGGAGGGTTAGCCCCTACCGCTGTCATTCTTCTGGAGTCTCAGCAAGAAGCAGAGGATTTGGAGGACTGCTGCAAAGGAATAGAAGTCTGTCTTAGAAACACTCAAGTTCTACGATCCCTGGACGATTTTTTACAAGATCTGGCCGGTGACCGAGCCAAAGAAGTGAAAAATGTGATTTTGAAGTAACCATCATTGTTTGGCGATATACCTAAGCGTTGCACGTTGGGGACACACGATGTGGATGTCCAAGGAGCTGCACCCATCAAGCAGTCCCCTTATTGCTTAAGCCTTATTAAACACCAAGCTCTAAAGGAGGAAATCGCCTTTTTGCTGACCCATGGACTGATTGAACGGAGCAAAAGCCCATGGGCCTCTCCTTGTGCGTTAGTCCCAAAGTCATACGGTACCTATCGTATGTGTACGGATTATAGAAAGGTGAATTCCGTCACAGTTCCTGATAGTTACTCTTTGCCTAGGGTAGATGATTTAATCGATAGGGTTGCCGGAGTCAAGTATGTGAGCCGGCTGGACTTACTGCAAGGCTACTGTCAAGTGCCCCTGATGGACTGCGCTCAAGACATATCACCGTTTACAGTGCATGGGGGCTTGTTCAACTACTTGGTTACCCCATTTGGGTTGTGCAATGCAGCGTCCACGTTCCAGCGGCTCATGAATGACCTTACTTATAACCTTGAGGGGGTTGAAGCCTACCTCGACGACCTAGTAGTCTTTAGTGACGAGTGGAGTTCACATTTAGTCCGTCTGGAGGCTCTTTTTAAGAAATTAGATGCTTACAATTTTACCATCAATTTAGCCAAATGCAAATTTGGACAAGCAAGGATTAAGTATTTGGGGTTCAATATAGGTCAGGGGACGGTGGCACCCGTCAGTGCAAAAGTGAGAGCCATTGCAGACTTTCCTATACCAAGAGACAGAAAAGGGGTGCAGAGATTTTTGGGAATGGCTGGGTATAATAGACGATTCTTCCCTAACTTTTCACACGTAGCCGTCCCCTTTTTGCGCTAACTAGTTCTAAAATCAAATTCACTTGGTCTGATGAATGCAATATGGCTTTCAATAGGTTAAAGCGATTATTGAACTCTTCTCCAGTATTGAAAAGCCCTGATTTTAGCTTTCCCTTTTGTTACATATAGATGCCAGCAGTTATGCTGTTGGGTCAGTACTACTGCAGTCCTCCCACTCTGATATTCTACATCCCATATGTTATTATTCCTCCACCTTAAAACCACACCAAAAGAATTATGCAACTGTAGAAAAAGAAGCTCTAGCCCTGGTTATCTCCCTTGAGCATTTTGGAGTTTACTTGGGAATGTCACCTCATCAGATTACGGTATACTCAGATCACAACCCTTTGACATTCATTAATACCATGAAGGCTAAGAATGCCAGAATACAGAGGTGGGCCCTTACAATACAACCTTTTTCTATTAAAATCCTACATATAAAGGGCAAACATAATGTAATTGTGGACACTTTGTCCTGCCCTTAAGACCAGTTACACCAGTATGCTCCTGTTCTAACTTATGCCTAATATTTCCCCTTTTGCCTACAGCTATGTGAATGAGTGGTACTGTTTACAGTTTAGGTATGGAGGATGAAGCTTGGAGACCAGTTGTTGTGTCCTTACATCTTGCTTGAGAGACAGCTTTCGTGTCACCCAAGGCCAAGAGAGAAAACCCAATTCTGTTGAGGTGGATGTCTGTCGTCTAAACAATATCCTCCTTGAATACCCTCGGAACATATGAAGAAGATTGTCTGGGATGAATTGGTGGAGAAATGTATGCCAGTTTTGCTATATTGGTATTTCAGTTCTTCTACTGTATCTAGAAGATGCAGGGATATTTTTGTCCTATTGTCAGTGCGAAATTTGGTCGTGTGGAGGGGGTGTTACACCCTTTTGTCGATTTTAAGTAGACAGTTTCTACGTGTTATTATTGCAGTGGTATACTTTTACATGTTATTTTTGCTATTTCACTTAATATTATATTCAGGAGTAATTCCATTAGTAGCTAAAATAGATTTACTCAACTTTATAATATTATCTGGTCATATTACTTAGCTTTGTACATAGGTAGGTTATTTAATTAGTCCAGACTGGTGGTGCAACCTGGCCAAGCACCAGTTGGTCCCTGGGTTATAGTACTTTTCGTAACAAACTAACAAACTTAGCACGTCTAGGGGTCTTCATTCGTGGAGGAAAAGGAATTTCCTTGGTTTCTATTTAATTTATTAATAGCCATAATAACCACTTAAATCCACTTTCTCATATTTTGCACTATGAGTAGAACACTTATGCCACTCATCATTTAAACATCACAGTACTAGGTTAAGTACAGTGGTCCCTCGTTTATCGTCCTTAATCCGTTTCTGGAAGTGGGACTATTATCGAAATAGATGATTTTCGAATCAATTTTCCCCATAAGAAATAATGTAAATACAATTAATCTGTTCCTGACACCCAGAAGTATTAAAACAAAAATTTTTTAACATGAAATATAGATGTAGCACATAAACAATACAATGGGACATGATGAATGAAACATTAACAGCATAACACTTACCTTTATTGGTGATTCTTCTTAGTGTATGGAAGACTGGAGGAGGAGAGAGAATGGATTAATTACTGTTTTGAAGGGGAATCTCCTTCCATCAACACCTCAGGTACTACCAAGTCCTTTTCTGGGGTCACTTCTCTTCTCTGTTTCTTAACCCTTTGACTGTTTCCGACGTATAAATATGTCTTACGAGCCAATGTTTCTGACGTATTTATACGCATAAATTCTAGCAGGTTCAAATCAAGCAGGAGAAAGCTGGTAGGCCCACATGTGAGAGAATGGGTCTCCATGGTCAATGTGCACCATATAAAAAAAATTGGGGAGCCAGTGGTGCATTGTGGGAATGCCATTTCAGTTGTCCATTTTCAGCATGTCTAGCCGTAAGAAATATGTGATTCCCCAGCAAATCTGGGACTCTTCTCTTCCCAAGTGATGCTCTAACACAGATGGAAGTGTCAGTGAAGATCAATTTCATGATTTGGAGGAGTTTGAGACCAAAAGCAATGGAGGGGGAGGAGGGGAGGAAGAGGAGGAGGAGGGGAGGAAGAGGAAGAGGAGGAGGAGGAGAAGAGGAGGAGGAGGAGGAAGAAGAAGAAGAAGATGTAATAATATTGTTCCCTTGAAGCAAGAAAAAAAAAGTCCACCCCATGACAGTGACAAGATAAGGGAGATAACATCTGATAGAGCTGACTTTGATGAGCGTAAAATGAGGGTAGAGCTAAGGAAATATTACATGACCATCGCCCTCCCTTTGTTTTTGCTGGTACACAAACATTTCTGTCTGTCTATTTGTCTGTCTGTCAAGCTCCCTGTCTGTCCATCTAGCTCTCTGTCTCAGAGAGAGCCACAAGACTGTGTCATCACTTTTACTCACATCTTCAAGCAGAGTATAGCACTTTGTCTGGATTTCTTGGGTTATCCTAGGTAATTTACACTATGTATACTTGTATTTATGTGTACCTGTAAGACAGAGATAGGCAGACAGATAGAAAGAGAGACAGATTGAAAGATATAGAATGAGGGAGAAAGATAATTAGATAGAATGGAGGAGGGGAGGCAGCATCCGACCCCATTGTTTTGACAGGCAGGAGGGGGAGTGAGTAATGAGACAATATGTCACTTTGACAGCTGCCGACTTCTGACTCAAAACAATTATAAGCCACACACTCGCACACAAGACAAGGAGGAGGAGGAGGAGGAGAAGGAGGAGGAGGAGAAGGAGGAGGAGGAGAAGGAGGAGGAGGAGAAGGAGGAGGAGGAGGAGGAGGAGGAGGAGAAGGAGGAGGAGGAGGAGAAGGAGGAGGAGGAGAAGGAGGAGGAGGAGAAGGAGGAGGAGTAGAAGGAGGAGGAGGAGAAGGAGGAGGAGGAGAAGGAGGAGAAGGAGGAGGAGGAGAAGGAGGAGGAGGATGATTGTTTGTTTGTTTTTGTAAACAAGTTTGTAAACAATATATTGATAATTATGTTTGTGTGCTTATTGTGTTGTATACAACGAGTGTATATATGTACATTGCACCTTACTTTGGTCTCATAGGCCACATAAGTTAGGTGAAAAAATAAAATAGTGAAAAAAACAAAAAACCTTCAATTACAAGTAAACTAAAGTTTACCGGGTGAGCGGCAGTCGCCGCTGTTGCCATACGTGGCTCATTTTCTGCAAACTTAAAGGCTCTATATCTCGGTAAGTACCGATGGCAAAAATTTTTTTTTTTGGACTAAAACACTCAGAAAAATAATCTTAACATTTTCATAAGAAAAAATAATTTTTTTTTTTTGAATATTTGGCGACATAGAATGACAGTTTCAGAGAGGGGCCTGAAACAGTCAAAGGGTTAATGCCACTAGGACCAGCTTGAGTCACTGGAGTCCTGTCTTGCAAAAAACTGTCCAGAGAGCTCTGTTTCTGGCGTCTCTTTAAAGCGTCCCTAAAATGGGCCAAGACTCTGTCGCTGTACAAGTTGCCGATATGGCTTGCAACATCCTTCTCACCTGGAGTTTACCTGGAGAGAGTTCTGGGGGTCAACGCCCCCGTGGCCCAGTCTGTGACCAGGCCTCCTGGTGGATCAGAGCCTGATCAACCAGGCTGTTGCTGCTGGCTGCATGCAAACCAACGTACGAGCCACAGCCCGGCTGATCCGGAACTGACTTTAGGTGCTTGTCCAGTGCCAGCTTGAAGACTGCCAGGGGTCTGTTGGTAATCCCCCTTATGTGTGCTGGGAGGCAGTTGAACAGTCTCGGGCCCCTGACACTTATTGTATGGTCTCTTAACGTGCTAGTGACACCCCTGCTTTTCATTGGGGGGATGGTGCATCGTCTGCCAAGTCTTTGCTTTCGTATAGTAAGTGATTTTCGTGTGCAAGTTCGGTACTAGTCCCTCTAGGATTTTCCAGGTGTATATAATCATGCATCTCTCCCTCCTGCGTTCCAGGGAATACAGGTTTAGGAACCTCAAGCGCTCCCAATAATTGAGGTGTTTTATCTCCGTTATGCGCGCCGTGAAAGTTCTCTGTACATTTTCTAGGTCGGCAATTTCACCTGCCTTGAAAGGTGCTGTTAGTGTGCAGCAATATTCCAGCCTAGATAGAAAAAGTGACCTGAAGAGTGTCATCATGGGCTTGGCCTCCTAGTTTTGAAGGCTCTCATTATCCATCCTGTCATTTTTCTAGAGATGCGATTGATACAATGTTATGGTCTTGAAGGTGGCTCCGACATGATCACTCCCAGGTCTTTGACGTTGATGTTTCGTCTATTTTTTTCCGATTTTTTTGTACTCTGATGAGATTTAATTTCCTCATGTTTACATATTGGTAATTAAAAATTTCTATCGTTAACTTCTATTGTTTTCTGCAGCCACTGAAGATT